GTTTAAGATGCTCTGTATAAACTTTCCCCATGACTGTCATGTGAAAACTGAAATTACCTGTCGTCTCTACATTGTATCTTTAATTGTTATTCAGTACAGCAAAAAAACCAAACTTCTTGTTCCAAGATCCAGAAAGCTGTCTTAAGTTGCAGAGCTATTTAAACATCTCTTACTGCCTCAAGGTAAAACTTGTGTTCCTTCAGATTACTCCAGCATATGGGTAAATCAAAGTTTGAGGTCTTCTGTTGGCACAGAAAAAGAACATATGCTATTCTTATAAACTTCACATACTTTCTGGTTGTGGCTTTTATTTCCTGCTATGTATATTTTTACATATTTTTCTCCTAAAACAAAAGTGGACACAATGTTTAAAAGTAGCCTTTGGACTGTTATGGTAATTGCTTAGAGGCTTTTGACACCTCCAATTATGATGTTAAAACTTCAGTATTTATAACAGGTGGTCCATGCTCTGACTCCTTTATTGGTCAATATTTTTATCTCCCTGGCAGATATCCGTGCTCTCATTTTCTTGAATTTTTGGGTCCAGAAAAAAAAAGTATAAATGTAAATCCCTAATTAGCAACAGAAAGATAATGAACTACTATTTCTGTTGCTTTCCTGTAACATCTTTATAACATGGTATGTATATTAGTATGAGTAATTATTACAAGTATTTCCTTTTATATAGATCCTAGAATATAGAGGAGTGTCTAAAAGGAAGAAATTAAGAGTTAAGAAGGTGTAATATTACTAGATTTAAAATTTTCTGGGAGTAAGTTAGGGCAGAAATTTTCCCTGAGCATTTTATGGCTCCTCTGTTAGAATTAGTGGAAGGTTTTTTTGTTATGTTATTAAAATCACCAAAATAGTACAGAAATCAAATTTATATATTAATTCTTTTTAATAGTTATAATACTACAGGATGATTCCTGTAAAAATAATTCTAAGACTGCTAAACAAACAATACAGAAAAAAATTATAGTGTGAAGTAGTGTATGGGGATACATAGTGTAAAGGTGGTGGTGTAACAATGATGGAACTCAGTGTTTTTTCTTTAAGTTCTAATTAAAACAGACAAATTGAATGATCATTTATAAGCATCTTGCATATTTAATAATTTCTGGCTTCTGACTTGCAAAAGTTGTCTCTTGTGACATTTAGGATTTAATAGTCTTTTAAAATGTGAATTCCTTTAAGTTACATTAATATGCTGCTTTCTGAAATCAATCCTTTATTCTGGTCATATGTAAATTCTAATCCTGACTAATTTTCGTCTACTTGGTTAGGTTAACATGCTTGTCATGTCTGTTTTTTTGCCATTCTCTGTTTATTTCACTGTAGTGCTGAACAAAAGCCCTAATTTCTATTCTGGTTTTGATCTGTCCTTGTCCTGAATCGGAGAGAAAATAGAAATATTTACATTTTTAATATTGATGCATTTAATAATAAGATTTCTAGCAATACATTTTAAAACATTCTGTTCCTGTACTTCCTAGTCAAAGTGAAATCTCTCTGGCTGTGCTACCAGGATGCAGCACAAGAGTTTAAAAACTGTTTTGTGTCATGGGAGATTTGCCTAGTGGAAAACGAGATGTTGATTTTCATGAAAACCAACATTTTCCTTGAGCAAGTGTTTCAGCTGGGAATTCATGACCAGACTTAGACAGGGATACTGTAGTGCTCAGCTGTGACAGAAGCTGGATACTTCAGTATTTTGGCAATGGTTGAGATACTCTTGCAAGTCTCCTGTCCTGTTCAGACTGGATCCCGCAAAGTGCTCTGTTTCCTGGCTCTGGCTGAGGACATGCTTGGACTGCAAGTGTGTGTAAACAGTGGTGTGAGGGGACACACTGTGGCTTTTTGAATTGCCCAGACAATGTGCCTAGCTAGGACTTTCTTACTGTCTTCATCTTCCAGTATCGTGAACATACGGTCTTCGTTACTGTGCAAGTTTAGGTTGGTTTTCACCAGAACCAATGTTTTCACATCATCATTTCTCAGTCATATGAGAGATTTTATTTGCTATGGAAACAAATATATGCTGGGCACGAGATGCTGACTCTGGGCCAGTTGGACTCTGTAGTTATTCCTGCGTATGTGTTAGGGCAGTAGGAGATAGTTGGCTCATATATTTGGTACTTTTTCCTGTACTTTGTTGTGGTGTTCAGAGCTGTGCGTGGCTCCTGCCATGCCAGGGAGGGAGGAAGAGTGAAGGCAAGCAGGGAATGGCCCGTCACCCTGTGGGGTTTGTGTGCTGCCCTACTGCCAGCCCCACACCCTCCATGTGTGCATGGTGGCCTCTGGCCGTGCACAGGGGCAGTGTTGGCATTAAGTAAAAATATGCTTTATGTGACATACACTTGTAACTTAATCCTGTTTTTCTTTTTAAGCTTTCATTGGCAAAATTTTGTTGGTCACAAGGCTTACTGTTTGCTTCCACGAGACTGAGGCATGTTTAAACGCTTTTTCTCATCTTGAGATATTTTTGAAACTTCTATAAAATACTTTACTAAATCCTCACTGGAATTTTTCAAAAATGTGTTTGCGGAAACATTTGTTTTACACGTCAATAATCACATTGTTCAATACTGAGTTTTTAAATCATCTTAATTTCCAATACATCTGTTTTTATAGCAGCCCACTTTTATGCTGGGTTTTGTAGTTGTTATAATCAGGACATTCTTACACCCATGAGTAAATTTATGAAAATTAGTAATCCTGTTTTATTCAGTGAGGAGTATTCTTGTAGACAGATGCTGCCCAAAATTGGCAGCTCCTCAAATTACTTACAAAAACTATATGAGTGCAGGACTTTCCTCAAATGTAATATCTTAAAAATTGTAAACTTTAATTGGCATAGAAAGTTTGTCTTCCAATATTTAGGAGTATCTTTTACATTTTCTAAATTACGTTCTCCCATTCCTAACTGCACGTGATAAATGTTCTGTCTTTTGAGAATGTGTTACTCTAAGTAAGTCTTTAATTAAAATGCCATGTTTAGATGCTTCATATACATATGATGCAAAATGTATGGAACTCTTTAACAACTATTTCATTAGATGTTGCTTTATTTATAGAAGTAATTGTTAGTATTCTGTAATAACGGTACTTTTTTTAGCAGGTCAGATTGTTTCCCCACAGTCTGCTCCAGCCTGTATTGAAAACAAAAATGATGTGAGCAGAGAAAACAGCACTGTTGACTTTAGCAAGGTAAGTGTTCACTGACGGTGAAGAGAGCTTCCTGACTACCAAATAGATCTTCTGAATTAAGTGAAATGAATCCATGTGAATCAGGAAAAGCTGTGAAGTGCAAATTTTACTTGAGCATTAAAGTTTCGTGTGCACTACAATACAGCTTGTATATAACAAAAAAGAATCTTTCATTTTCTTGATAAATTACTGGTAACAGGAAATCACAGTTTAGGAACATAGATAAATTTATTGCACGACAATATCATAGGTGTATCATTGTAGGGGGAATTTTTACAAATTAACAGATTATTTAAGTCTGAAAGTAATTCAGAATTCTTATAATTCAGATTTACCTCTCAGATTTTTACTTTTTGTAGAAGTAATGCATGAATGCAAACTATGCTTTTTATAACCTGAACTCGTGGATTCCAGATGTCTCAAACAGAATGTGTTTCTGTAAACCTATAACTTAATTCTTCTGGCAAGCCAAGATATTTCAGTACACTTCACAAAAGATGTTAACTGTTCAGTAGTGGAGATTGCAATGACAGTTCAGTGTTAGATAGCAAAGAAAAGCAAACAGCTTCTCAGCTTTAATGTAAAGGAGAATCCTAATTTGTTTAAGAAATCTGTATGTACCTAAAACAAACTGTCACATTAGATACAGATGACAGACCTGACAGGGATAGATGACTTCAGCTGACACATTAATACAACAAAGGTTGAGTAAGTGAAGAAAGGTGATTTAAACCAAAATTCTGAACAGCACTTTGAGTCTGTTGAATCTTAATGTTAGTGCAACTGAGCTAAAAGTAGAGTTATGTGATTGCTCCATCTGGTGCCAGACTTATTTCCTAGCAGCAGTAGCTATTTGCACCATTTGAATTCTTAACTGAATATGCCAGACTAGGAATGGTACATGGCTGAAATAAAGATGGGAAACTGATCTTTTGTCAAAGACAGTGAGAAGAAAGGAGGCTGGCTGGGGATGTATTATGGACCGCATTTCTACAGAGGTAGCAAGGAGATCTATAAACAGTGACAAGTTGTTAAAAATTTAATGCTAATACTTCAAAAATATTTAAAACTAAGATTATAATGCTTTAAAAAGTCAAGTATTATTTTGGTTTCCTGATATTTATATTAAAAGTGTTAACTAAAACTAATTGTTTTGGCAAGTGTTCTAATATCAAGATGTAAAATTTTTTAAAGGTTATAAAATATAAATAAAGCTGTCTATTCGAAATTAAGCTGTGCAGAGGTGAAGCTCATAACAACCCAAAGGGAACGACATGACTTCCAGTAGTGCTTTCCTTGCACGTTTCCCAAATTGCTTTGAGTGTTGTAGGATCAAAATCCCAGTTCGTTATCTAGCTGCATGATGTTTGTATTAAACAAGAATGGAGGCTGCATCATTTGATCCTTCACTCGCTATTTTTGTAGTGCTGCAGCTTTGCTGATCAAAAGACCTCTTCCTATTTAAAATGGCCTGAGAAGAGATCAATGTCATCTTTTGGCTAGCCTCAGCAGTGTTAGATACCAACAAGGATGTCAGGAATAGGAAAGGAACAACTTTTGTTTGCAGGAATGAAATAACAGTGAAGGATTGTAATCTAAATACCTTTTTTGACTGCCTTTAAATAGATACGTTTATCCTTTTGAAGATGCATAAATAAAGTACAATTTCCCCTTGAAATGTACTATTGCAATAACTCCCAATGGCTATAATTGGAATTACATGCACAGATTGAGAGGAAAGTAGAGCAGTACACTAATTTTCTCTTGAGTATTGTGATTTCTTGCTCTAATTTTGTTCCACATATTAGTTCCATTTATCTTCTGCAAAAAAGCACCTTTGACTACCTCACATATTCTCTCCTTGCTAATCTGTCTCCCTTGGGCTACTTCTAATATTTCAAATTTTGGAGTTGATTCAAAAAGCTGACTTAATCTGAATACAGCACTGAGACTGTGTTGTTTGTATTGGTATCTATTTAAGAAAAATGTGAGACACGGCACTAAAAGCTGTCTTGAATGTTACTTCAGTAGCACAGAGAGGGAGACATAGTTTCTGATGTTTGTACTTGTACATGTGTCACTCCTCTTCCTCTGGGGACACCACGAGGACTTTGTATTCTGGGGGTGATATGGAGGTGATCTATCACAGCACCACTTTATCCTGTGGTGAGCAGGAGGGGGAAGGCAGTTTAACAACTGCATCTGGCTGGTCTCTGCTTCTTATGTCAGAGGCTGAAGGGAACCCTAGTTGTCCTGAAATACAAAATGCATAAAGAGACTCCACCCGCGTTCCTTCTCTTGGCAACATTCTTATGCTCCACGTGGAAACAGTATTTCTGAATCAAACCCTGGTCCCATACTGACAGAGTTTGGTCTTTCAAATACCATGTGAAATAATTGACTTGGTTTTGAATATTGGTTTGCTCTGCTTATAAATAAATTTGATTAATATGCATCACAGCTTTCCTAAGAAGTGATGTTGAACATTTTCTGTTTGTCTTCATGTCAGTTTATGTTTGGTTCTGGGGGAGGCCCCCACCACACTTTTCAGTCCTTGAGTTGCCCTAGAGGGGAATGGCCTCCACGTTAGTTATTTAGTTTTATGTTTAATTGGAGCTTACTGGGACTGTTTAGTGCCAGGTCATGAATATGGCTCAGGTTAGGGTACAGTTTAAGATGCACATGAGGTCTCTCCAGGTACAGACTGCTTGGGATGAGAGATGTATAATGGATAGGTTCGATGAAGCATTCGAAGGATGTAGCTTTTGCCATTGCCCCAAATTCACTCCAGGGCCACCTCCGCTCTCGTTACATAGTGGAAGCAACACCTGGGGTTCAGATGTATTTGCCCAGTTTGATGCTTCTCTGCCAGCTACTTTCCTTTTAACTGAAGCTGTGTTTGCTACCTGGAAGATTTTGGAATCAAGCTGATAAATAGTACAGGAAATATATCTGGAAATACTTTCTGGTAGACAGGAGACTGGATGTTTCAGATTTGAATCTTGATCCTGTGATCTCTATGTTAGTGGGACCTTAAGGTGACAACTGTAGCATGTTGTATCTGAGACATTAGTTATTAAATGTTAAGTCCATTCACAAGGTAAAATCGGTACAGAATGCACATTGCTACGTGCCTGAAAGACTACTTCCTTTCTCTCAACTATAAATGATCTACGACACCAAAATTAGGTGCAAAGTGAATCTGTTTGGGTTTTGTATTTAACCCTGAAGAGTTATTTTGTGATTTGAGTGGCGAATAGAATTTACCTCACTGATACTTTACCTTGAAAAAGTACTTGGTCTCCAACCTTCCAGGTTGATTTGATGCTTGTTTAACTTTGTGAGGTGTTTGGTCATCGTTCTAGATTAGCTTAGGGTAGCATTGGACCTCTCTTTGTGATCTCAGTGAAACAGGATTTCATTACACATGCAACTGTGTTATATCTGAATTCTGATTTAGTGCCAGAGCCATTTGCAAGAAAACAATTTTCTAAATATTACCAAAAACTATGCAAACTAGAACTGACAGATGGCCGTAAGATAGACATTAAAATGGTCCACTTTAACAGTTTATATTGGATTTGGTTGCTGTTGTTGTGTTTAGATTAATAAAAGGAAAGCAAATGACAAAATTCATGCATTTTGAAATGTAGACAATACTGGTGCATAATGAAATCAAACATACATTATATACTCTTATTACTCCACGTCGATCTTTGTTACAGAGTAAACTCTATACTGATACTGAGGAAATAAATACAAATGAACACATTCCTAGGCAAATACCTTGAGCTTATATAGCAATGTCGTGATGAAGCTGTTTCTCTGTCTTTTCCTACTATCCCCGCAAAAGTCAACATCACTGCCTTAGAACTCTAAAGTTTTTAGTCTGCTTTGTTTTTTCAGTTTACTCTTGAGACAATCATGGTCATAGCTTATTTTCTGCTATTTTCAGCAGAAGGGCAACTGTCTTCCATTAAATCTGAAAACAAAAATACGTCTCACTTAGAGTAGTAGAAGGAAAATTACGTGTAGTGGAACCCGTTCTTCTCACTGAGATTATAATACAGCATCTATGAACTATGAATTAATCATTTACAGGATTGTTAATTGTAGAAAAATAAGGCGTCTTCATTTCTTCTACTGTTATGACTTATTGATTCTGTTATGAATTATTTATGCTGTTATGATTATTGATAAAAAGTATTACTAGGAAATTAATACTATATTCTTAACAAGATTTTAAATGTGATTTGTTGCCTTTATAAATTAATTCTGCAGTACTTTAACTATGTTTCCAAGAAAAATTAGTCAAATAATGAAAGACGAGTTGTTTGGTTTTGAGAAACATTTTTATTAAAAAAAAAAAATATTCAGCAGACAAGAATAGTAGAAACTGTATAATTGAACTAACTAACATTATAGTGCAGTGGCCAGAAAGCCTCTGTCAACAAATCAGGGGGAGAAAATCCCTGTCAATAGCTTTTAGGTTGTAATTTAATATACTTTCCTCAGGTTGACCTACACTTCATGAAAAAGATACCACCTGGAGCTGAAGCATCAAACATCTTAGTTGGTGAACTAGAGTTCCTGGACCGCGCGGTTGTTGCTTTTGTTAGGTTATCTCCTGCAGTGCTGCTTACGGGACTAGCTGAAGTTCCGATTCCAACAAGGTACAGCTGGATTTATTTCTCTTCATGTTTTTCTGAGTACCTTGTGGAGACAGGGTGATGTGACCTTCAACTTTGTCATTTATTGAGTTATGATTTTGGTTCTTTCTTTAAAAAAGACATGTCTTAGAGACATCTTTCCACTCATCCTTTAAATGATGTAGGGTATATTCAGAAACATGCCATTTGTGTGTGCAGATAATCATTCTTCGCAGAAGTAGAAATGATAGCTTGTTAAGTTACAACACACAGTTTATCCTGTACAAACTGGTAATACTGCAGATGAAATACTAAGGTGAAATATTCAGCTGCTTAGAATATTTCATCTGGAACTGGAACTACTTGTGTGATACTGCATAATTATGTCCAGAACAAAAAAATGAAGAACGAATTGAGTAAAGGGAAAAAAAAAACCCTATGTGATTTGATTGACTAGGGATAGTGAATGGATGAAGAACATGCTGCAAATACCACGCTCTTCTAAAAGTTACTTTGTAGATACTTGCATGGTAGTGAATATGACTTTTAACCATAAATTTTTATTAGATACATTTTTTCTAAGTTGAAACTTTTTCTGATTAAGTACTTTGGTTCTGAGAACAAATTATGAGGAATTTTAAAAAAATGTCTAAAATAGACTTTGTAGTCAAACAGAAAGCATTTAAATAGATCTGGATATATTATTTCCCGCTGGGGTTGATTCAGATCAAAACTCCAAAGCGATTCTCCAATATCCGAGTTCACTGACTTAACTATTATTGCAGTCTCTCACTTTTTTTTGTACTTATGCACATGTTTGTACACATATTCTGCCTCTCTTTCCCCTTCCCTCTTTTAGTTTCTATAAAAGTAGAATTCCAACAGAAGGCAGTAGTGTATCCCAGTTGTTTGTGAAACTCAAGGAGGAGTGTTATGCTGTGAAATGAAATGCTTAGACTCAGAGCCTTGCTCCTAGTCAGATAAACAGTATAAAATTCTCTTTAAGTTGTAGTTACTTTGGATATGACTTTCTTTGTCTTTTCTCATTTTTGCACGTGTATAAGGAACATTGAGGGACTGAGCTGGCTTTGAAAAAAAACTTCTGAAGCCTTTCCTCGTAACCTCCCCTAACTTCCCACAAAAAAAAAACACCAAAAGGAAAAGAACAGATTTCTTGATTTTTGGCCAAAAGAAAATTAAATAATGAAAAATCAGGATAATTAAGAATTTCTGCAAAAAAATTTATTTTAAAAAAATTTAATAATGTTAGTAAAAAAATCTTTTGCATTTTAGCAAAACGGAGAACTTCAGTTACTTCATTTGAACCTATCCTCTGGATTTTATAGAACCTTACTAGCCCCAAGCCTAGAGTAGAGGCTGTCTAGAGCCTTAATGGGAGTAAGCACGATTTAAAAATTAGTTTTATTTGAGGTAATTTAGCTTCCCCAATATTGCAATAATGCTACTACCATAAAATAGTTGATTCTCTTGAATTAACAGAAATAAATAAATTAATGTTAATGTGTTCTGTACCTAGATTATAATTGCATATATTAATTATGTAAGATAAGGTTTGTTATGTAAGGAGGTTTTGATAGTCTCAATCAAGTCTGACTGTGAAGCTTATGATATATTTTTGGAAGTTATTTTCACATTTTTTCTAACCAGAGCTTCATGTTTAAATGCATGTGTGAGGATCTTGAAGGAGATTATATATAATATTTATCTTAGAGGTTCTTCTAGTCCTATTTTTAAATAAGTATTTCTGTAGTATGTATAGTTACTTTCAACCATCTATCCTTTACAATTTTTTTAATTTATCTTTTATTTGCAGATTTTTGTTTATTCTTCTTGGACCACTGGGTAAAGGGCAACAATACCATGAGATTGGAAGATCAATTGGAACGCTAATGACAGATGAGGTATTTTTTTTCATGGCTTGGTTTTAGTCATTCTGTACTGACTGAGGAGGTGTAATAGGGAATCTCCAATGTGGAATTGTCCAGATAAAATGTGGCTAACCATTCTGATGATGCACAAATAGCATTCTAGTTCATTTCATGATCCTGTAACAGCCCAGATGATGCTGCCATAAGGAGATAACAAAATGAGAAACAATATTCACATGCAAGGATATCTGCATTGAGAAGATCGCATTTTACACAGTTCCTTTCCACTGGAATTAGTTGCATTTTAAACTGTAAAATCTCTAGAACATTTAGCACCCATAAGGATGCTTTTCCATAGCAGCTAGAGCTGCTGTGAAAACTATGTACCAGAAACTCTAATCAGTTGAAGCTGACATTGTTTGTTCGGTGGGAACTGCATGAAGTGCATTCTATTTCAGAGAAAAGGGGCCATCGTGAAAAATGTTACGACAGTATTCCTTTCCCCATCCCTTTTTCCTCCCACATACACTTCTCCATTTTTCACAGGTGTTCCATGATGTTGCTTACAAAGCAAAAGACCGCAATGACTTGGTGTCAGGAATTGATGAGTTTCTTGATCAGGTTACTGTTCTCCCTCCTGGAGAGTGGGACCCAACAATTCGAATAGAACCACCTAAAAATGTTCCCTCTCAGGTTTGTACACTGTAAAATTCAGACACTTAAACGTTGTGATGAATTTTTGCTAGGTAGAATTAAGTCTCATTAATTTAGCATTTAGCAGAGTCACTATATAGGCATTTTGCATGCTCTTTTTTTTTTTGTTGTTGTTAATTTGCTTTAAAAGAACCCTTGTCTTGCCAGCATACAGTACAGTGATGACATTTTGTGTAGTTCAATACTAGTTCTCTCCTGAATAAAGACAGATAGTTGTATCTGAAGATCTTAAATTCAGGGGTAATTGGTCATAAGCATCTTTGATTATTCCGAACAGCCATGGTTTGCTTTTGTTCTAAGCTTATTGCAAGAATTGATCAAAGCAGCCTTGCTTGCTACTCTTTAAAATGTTTTCTGATACAAAATGTTCTGTGATCAATTCTTTAAATTTCTTAGACCAAATTCCTTCCACTATTTCCTGTTATAGAACTCCTCTACAGCTTATGAAGAGGTTATGTTGATGAATCTTACAATAAAATGTACATGTTTAGTCTTTCAACTCTCAAAGCCTGTTTCCTCTGCTAAAATTATGTTTTAGTTGCTAAGACCCATGAGAAGTATTTTTTCCTTCTGGTAGGAGAAGCGTAAGATTCCAGGAGTGCCAAATGGAACTGCAGCCCACGGGGATGCAGAACAACCTGGAGGACACTCGGGACCAGAACTGCAACGGACTGGAAAGTTAGTGAAAACATATGCACAATCATAAGTGTTCTAAGTGATGCACTTCCAAAGGAATCATAATGGTCTGATTCTTTCTCGAATGACTGGCTTAGCATATGATTTTTTTCAGGCATTTTTCCTCATTTGCATACCACGTAGTTGAAAAGGACAATACATACTAATTTGCAGAGAGGGGGAGAGAGCAAGAGGATTTGAGTTTTCACATTATATTTATTGCAAGCTCCTTTCTCTGTTATTTATAAAGGTCAGACCTCTGTTAAACTTGATTAATGTTTCTTATTTTTGTACAGCACGAAGGAAAAGTTGGGAATAGTCTTGTGCCATGTATTATGAATGCTTACAACTATTTTGTAGTTGAAGTTTCTGGGTTGTGCAGCTCTAGCATTTCTTTTTTACCTCAGTAAGCCATGCTATGTCCTGGTATGTGAGGCTATGATTGTCACGGTGGCTGCAATATACACACAACAGAAGGAAGAATTTGCCCCAAGGAATACTTATGTTCTCTCACCTAATATGGTGTGGTGTAAGCGCATCAGCTGTCAGTGGTTGCCTTAGTGCAGTGTAGTTGTACGATAGACTTTTCTTTTACCTTGCTGCCTCTTGATATTTAACTATTCCTACCTACATAAAGCTAAGGATTCAGCTGCAGTGTTGGTGTACACAGTGGGGCAGAGGAGGTGATGGCCAGTCCGGCTGTAAGCCATTCTCTCACCAGTGAACTTGGCAATTGACAGCTCAAAGGATCATTTTAATATTTAGGAGATGGTGGCACTTCATCTTCCTCTTTACCCCAGCAACATCTGATACATCGGGTGCCTGTGAGAAAAAGAGCATTGTGGGGATATTTACTTTTAACTGTACGGTATATTGTAAGGGAGCGTCTGTTCTTAAATATTTGATGATATTTAGCATAGTGTAAATGACAAAAGATGACAATTCTTGTCCTTGGAAAATTGTGGCCTACATTCAATTCTATCATCAAGTGTATTTAGGAACAGGTTCTCAAATAAAGAATGTGAAGCTCAATATGTAGACGTGTGGGTAAATGGGCACTGTGGTAGCTCTCTGATTAAACAAATGCAAAGAATTATTTCACATAATAAATAATAGGGTTTTATGCATGGTAGCTAACAACTGTTCAGAAGTTTTGGGTCTGGATGATTAGATGAAGATTTTACGAAAGAAACATGCAAATTAGTTTGTTTTAAAAACACAATTTTCTGATTAAAGTTATCAAGACAGGGTTCCCAGAAACTTTTTTCTGGGAAGGGCGAATTATAAGAGTATGTATCATTTGACCAAGGAACAATAGCTTCTCTGAAGTATATTTAAAGCAATACTGTGCAAGAAAGTTTGGTATGCCTTTTTCATTAATTTGCTCTCTTCTATTTTTTTTAGATTTTTTGGAGGATTGATTTTAGATATAAAAAGAAAAGCTCCCTTCTTCTGGAGTGACTTCAGGGATGCTCTCAGTCTGCAGTGTCTGGCATCATTTTTGTTTCTCTACTGTGCTTGCATGTCTCCTGTCATCACATTTGGTGGTCTGCTGGGAGAAGCAACTGAAGGTCGTATAGTATGTGTTACATCTGAACTTTTAAAACAAACTTATATTCCTAGGTTTGTGGTTAGTATTTTCTTACTGTTGCATGAATCACCTTTAAATATTGCTGTTTCAATGTTTAGAAGGCTACAGACTAAGACATTGCAAAAAGAACCTGTTTGAAAATTTATGGACACTTCTCTCTGTATCACATTCAGAGTGCAATAGAATCACTGTTTGGAGCATCCATGACTGGAATTGCCTACTCTCTCTTTGGTGGACAGCCTCTCACTATACTTGGCAGCACAGGACCGGTTTTAGTGTTTGAGAAGATCTTATTCAAATTTTGCAAGTAAGTGAAGATCATGATATGCATCATTCCTCGGGTGTTGTTAGGTAAAAGTAGAGACACTGATCCCAGAGTTCCAACATCTGCAGAATAAGATCAACAGTTTTTTTTGGAGTGCACTGCTTAGGCTTTCAGAGTCTGAAAATTATGCAGTGACTGAGACAAGTGAATTGGTGGTAGTGTAGAAAGGTTGATGGGGGTTTTTATTGTTTTTTGTTTGTTTGTTTTTTTGTTTTAAAAACAAGTGTTTTGAACGGAATGCAAGCTTCAGGATGTTGGGGTTTTTTTAATTGTATCATTTTCTACTCTGAAACAATACACTTAAATCTGTGGTTTATCTCATCCCTAACTCATGCAAAAGGTTACCTCTCACCCAGGAAGTAAGTGCAGTGGCAGTGGTGCCATCTTTCAATAGTCACTAATAATAGGCCCTGCACTTCCTCCACCCGAACAGAGAAGGGGTGAAGCATCATGCCAGAACAGCATATCCCCACATTTATGTTAATGTGCTATACGTGACATACCTCTGCCACAGTGTGAGTAAAAATTATGTCTGCATCTTGGCAACCATCATGCTTCTCTGTGATCCTCTCTGCTTTTCTGCCTCATTGCTGTGATGGGGACTTCTGCACCAAGATCTCCTGAACCTCCTGAACAACATAGAGTAGGAGACCCTGCTTAGCACCCCAAAAGCTCTTTTATCACCTTCAGGTAGACCTTTCAGTTCCCTGTGATAATGTCATCCAATGTGTTTGGAGCTCTATTATCATATGCAACAAGCATACAGGATTTTGATGAAAGTTGTTATTATAGCTACTCTTGCAGCTTAGGAAGAAATTGGCAGGTGTTGGCTGTTCACAAGGCAGGATATGGGATAAAAAGTGGGTCGACCTTATACACTTCATGTGTGTGACTACTCTCAAAACTACTCACTCACTTTAGTAGAGATAGAGCTCTTTGTGTCTTGTTAACTGGGAGGAGAGCTCAGGTCAAGAGGTGACTTGACAGTATCTTCAGTTCACAACAGGTAAATAATTTCTGATACAGACTGTCCCCAGAATCGCACATTCCTAGCAAAGGAAGTTTTGGAGCTGCCTCTTCTCCATTTACTGTGGCTGGTCAAAAGATAAACTGTGTTTAATTTTTTTCTTTGTTTTTTTAGAGAGTATGGGTTGTCGTACCTTTCTCTGAGAGCTAGCATTGGACTGTGGACTGCAATCCTGTGCATCATCCTTGTTGCAACTGATGCAAGCTCCCTAGTCTGCTACATTACCCGGTTTACTGAAGAAGCTTTTGCTTCTCTTATATGCATCATTTTCATTTATGAGGCCTTAGAGAAGCTGTTTCATCTCAGTGAGACATATCCAATCAACATGCATAATGATTTGGATCTGCTGACAAAGTACTCGTAAGTAAGGTTTCTTCTGTTAACACTGGGGGTTTTTTTCATAGGTTATGTTTTCTCTGTGAGGAACGCAAACCAGTGCACAGCAGGAAAAGTTTGCAGTAGTTGCAGACTTAACATGTGAAAGCTATTGAGTTAGGCATGATGCTGGCATATGGAAGTAGTAGTTACCGGAGGTATGTGTACAAGCAGTACACATTTACTTAAGATAAGTAAAAAATATCTTGACTTGCAGTTTGGAAAAACTTACACGCACGCAACTTGGAAGTCCTAGAATAAAAAATAGGACTTGGAGGGACCTCAGCTTTAGGTTTTTATTCACATTTTTATTTAATGAGGTGTAACTAAATGATCTCTTACTATAACCTTGCACTGATGATTTATAATATTTTATTGTCTGTTCAGGCAACATTTTTATATCATATTTATCTGTTTTTTTTTTTCCAAATTGAAATATTGACCTATCTAAAAAGGATATAATTTGATGTACCTCCTTTATTTTAACCTCTCTGGCAGTTAAGGTTCAAGCTCCAAGAACTGAAGTGGATTTGGAATTGTTAGGAGCTTCTCAATGGTGATTGATTTTGTCACAATCAATTTCTTCTTGATAACAAGATTTTTAATATGACTCGATTTAAGCAGTTTTACTTTATTGTGGAGTTTTGACAGGTAGTATTCTACTTGGGGAATAAAAAAGTGAATGGCTTTAATCAATATAGTTTCATTTAGGAGTAAAAACTCATAGACTTGTTTCTGTAATATGAGTACAAAAATGTTCTTCTAGTAAAGGACAAGATCCTAGTCTGTCCTGAGGCCAATTAAGCCTGGTCACCTCAGCAACTAAAATGTCATTAAAAAGCATTTTCAGAGAAGATCCCCTCCAGAAATGTCTTTTATTATTTCACTGAACCATTTGAACCCTCTGCATGAGCAGGGTGGAGCCCAAAAGGAACAATGCTTAAACAGTGCCACATCTTCTGTTCACTGGAAAAACAGGAGTGTCTCAACCAAATGTCTCATTTGCATTTTAAGCTGGGAAAAACAAAACACAGCAACAGAGAAAATATTTGAGCTTTGTATATGTTACCACTAGAAAAATAGTTAGCAAATCCTAAATCTGAATGCATGTTATATACCTTAATACATAGAACAAGTTAAATTATAGAAACTATAGTTGTGCTGTGACATACTCTCTCATCATGCTGAAAAAAATATTCCTCTCTAATAGTTTAATCAGTAGACAAAGGAATATGAATTTGAAGAGAAAGCAATAAACATCAAGAATAGGCCATGCAAGCGGTTGAGGTTATATCCTGGTCTTATTTAACTTCAGTTAACTTCTATGAAGTCAGTATTTTACTCTAAAGAGCCTCATACCGCAGTGTTTGTGGATTTTTTTTTCTGTACCACTTCAAAGTAGTCATGATGTTGTCATATGGTTTTGAAAAACAGATGTTGAAATACTATACAAAGACAAAAAATTATTCAGAAACCATTTAGCAGGCAGAGCTGAGATGTTAAAATATGTAATGAAAAGCAAAAACATGAATAGAAATGCGGATTCCTGGGTAGCTAGCTTTATTCGTGATTAGCTGAATCCCGTGATACTGCTTGAGATTTCAGAGAAGTAAGATTAACAGTCTTGCTTGTATAGGGGTGCAGTGGTGGGTATCTCTGTATTTTATGAACAATTTTTATCATCATAGTCCTTATGTTTACAAATAAATGCTTTTGGCTTTATTTAAAATTCCATTAATTTATCAGAATCCCAAATTGATTTTTGAAGGGTGGTGTTTACTCGCTGCCTGCCCTTAGTAACTGTCTTCATTGAATGTAGAATGTGCAGAGCATGCAGAATGGTAGAAGAGCAGCAATTGTTATCCTGCAATTACAGCTATTGACCTGTCCTGTCCTACAGTGTTGGAATACCAGCACAACAGTTGTAGATTTTCCAAACACAATTCCTGAAGGACAAATGTCTTCCAAATGTTTGGAAGAAAGATTTGACCGCTGCCTGGTGGTTTCAAATACATACATAGCTGTCAAAATTATTTTATATAATAGTATCGTAGTTATTTGTGGGGTCATCATTTCATACCTATATTCTCAGTTATTCTTTCATTCTGTGTAGATAGTACAAATAAATTGACTTTTAAACTCTTGCATTACATTTCACTTTCGGCATTTATCTTGTATCTTCTACTTGCAGCAATATCCTGTTTATTATCGATATCACGTCCACGGCAACTGACCCCACTGATACCAAAATGACTAGCTGTAGACATAGTTATAGGCAGCATAGCTTTTATGGGATGTGGCTTATATTTTTTTAACCTTAAAACTGATTGTTGGAAACACAAGTATGCATACTGATTATCTTGTAAGAGTGCATCTGCCGATTCCAAGGATCTGTGCTCTGAACACAGCAAAGAGGTAATTCCAGTCTCTTCTGTTCTCTCCCATCCCTTCTCCTTCATCTGAGTTTTTCTTAGTTCTTCAGAAGCAACCCTGACAGGTTGGGGGAACGGAAAGATGTGCTCTGTTGGAGCAACTCTAGATCAGCTGCCCAAATGACCCGTGCTTTCATAGCAGACTTGGTGCAACCTGAACTCCAAGGGTTTGCTGTGCAGATATGCACATATTACTCTGTCCAGACACAGTGGCCATGTGCCCAGAACATGACGGTATCACAATTATCATCACAAGGCAAGACATTTCAGATAACCCTCAGTCCCTCCTCAAATGTCTGTACAAGTCTCAGTTCCAGAAAGATCAGAAACTAGAAGGCGAATAAGCATAAAAGCTTACTTGAAATAAAAATCTCACTTTTGTGTACTTGAAGTTGGGGAATATTGCTTTCACAAGGAATTAGAAGCTTTTTCTGCAGCATCTGACTCCAGTCCTTCTACTTGTAGTTTAAATGGGTAACAAACTTGGGCTGAAACTGGTCCTGTCCTTAAAGGACCAGCATACTCTGTTACAGAAGCTAATTAGTATCTGCTGTTTTGCTAATTAAAACAGCTGTTTGCATTTTCCTCTTCGGGGATTTTGAAGACAAGTTTTTAATTGTTAGTAAAGCCTTGGCAGTTCTTTAATTAGCAGTGGGTGAACTTCAAAAGGTTGAGCAATTCATTTCTCTTTGAACGCTCAGCCAAAGCTTATGTAAAACTTTATCTTGGATCTGCAATTCTATGCTAGAAAAAGCAGGTTATACTGTAAAATTTCTGTGTTTTCTGTATTCTGCCTGTTGCCCACTCAAAAAGTTGATGTTAAATAGGTCAGGACACTGTATATATTTGAAGCTTTCAGTGTATGCTGTGGTCCAGCCCTCCTCTCTTCTCCCATGGGCTTTCCGAGGATGCTCTGATGTCCACAGGTAGTCCGTCTACATCCCAGTACTGTTGCCTTTGCCATGGAGAAGACATGAGTTTGACCCAGCAAACGTCATTGGCATGCTGTTAATACTGTCCTTTGGAGAGTAGAAAGACAAAGAAAATAGTAATTTAAAATGGTTGGTATTTCAACCAGATTGGAATCATATTTCAAGTGAGAAAGAAAACCCATTCTGTATTTTGGGTGGGTTTGAATTCTGTCATAAACAGTCTCTGTTGCAGGAGTTTGATGTAAAAGGCTGTACTGCATGCATCTCCTCTTATATTTAAGAGTGTAGGAGTCATTACTAGTATCTGCCATAACAAACCTTAGAAGACTATAGAAAGAACGTTTCTGAACAGTTGGGATTTTTTTTTTTTTTTAAATCAAGCAGACCCAAATATTTGAAAATCAACTGAGAGTCCTCCTAAAAGGTTTCTTAAAAATTTGTATTTACCATTTTACCATTTTAGGTAGAAGATATGAGTTTGAGTTTTTTACAGAATTCTATCTCAAAAAGACAAAAATGTCTTTTGTTGCATGATCTAATTAATGTAGAACTAGTCCTGATGCACTTTTTTCTTGTTTTCTTTATTATACTTGTTTGTTATTCTGTGTTGAAATATTGGCCCTAATTGTCAGGTGATCTACTTGAGGCAAATCCATTCAGCATTCATATGTAACTTTTTCTTAAAACACGATCTTTACAATGTGGACCATAAAGAATAAGGCATTTAAGAGCTAAATCAAAAGAAGGACAAAGACAACCTCATTTTCAGTGTGCTACTGTGCTGCAATTTTTTTCTTTTTAAACTGCATTGTTTTGAAGGAATTTAAATTCAGTAGCTGCATTGTTTATTAGATAAAATACACATACTTTTTTGATCTGGGCTTTGCTTGCTCTCTTTCGCGCGCTCTCGCGCGCTCTCGCGCGCTCTCTCTTTCGCGCTCTCTCTCTCTCTTTCTCTCTTTCTCTCTCTCTTTCTCTCTCTCTCTCTCTCTCTCTTTCTCTCTTTCTCTCTTTCTCTCTTTCTCTCTTTCTCTCTTTCTCTCTTTCTCTCTTTCTCTCTTTCTCTCTTTCTCTCTTTCTCTCTTTCTCTCTTTCTCTCTTTCTCTCTTTCTCTCTTTCTCTCTTTCTCTCTTTCTCTCTTTCTCTCTTTCTCTCTTTCTCTCTTTCTCTCTTTCTCTCTTTCTCTCTTTCTCTCTTTCTCTCTTTCTCTCTTTCTCTCTTTCTCTCTTTCTCTCTTTCTCTCTTTCTCTCTTTCTCTCTTTCTCTCTTTCTCTCTTTCTCTCTTTCTCTCTTTCTCTCTTTCTCTCTTTCTCTCTTTCTCTCTTTCTCTCTTTCTCTCTTTCTCTCTTTCTCTCTTTCTCTCTTTCTCTCTTTCTCTCTTTCTCTCTTTCTCTCTTTCTCTCTTTCTCTCTTTCTCTCTTTCTCTCTTTCTCTCTTTCTCTCTTTCTCTCTTTCTCTCTTTCTCTCTTTCTCTCTTTCTCTCTTTCTCTCTTTCTCTCTTTCTCTCTTTCTCTCTTTCTCTCTTTCTCTCTTTCTCTCTTTCTCTCTTCTCTCCCCTCCCCTCTTTTCTCTTTTCTCTCCACTCCTCTTTTCCCTTTTCTCTTTTCCCTTTCCTCTTTTC